ATTTCCCCTGAACATACCCCAAAATGAATATTTCCCGTACCTTAAAGCGATTTCCCGTCATTCCCGCTTTTTGTGAAATTTCCCGCTTTTTAGTGAAATTTCCCGTAGTTCCCGTCATTCCCGTAGTTCCCGCATTTTAGTTTTTGCAATTTCCCGTCGTTCCCGCAGTTCCCGCATTTTAGTGCATTTCCCGTAGTTCCCGTCGTTCCCGTTTCCCGCATTTTAGGGTTGCCCATTCAACAGTTCAGTTCCAAGCACCAACCTCTGGCAGTCTGGCAGGCAACCCTAAAATGCGGGAAACGCGAACTACGGGAAATGCACTAAAATGCGGGAACTGCGGGAACGACGGGAAATTGCAAAAACTAAAATGCGGGAATGACGGGAACTACGGGAAGTTTCACTAATAAGCGGGAAATTTCACAAAAAGCGGGAATGACGGGAAATCGCTTTAAGGTACGGGAAATATTCAGTTTGGGGTATTTTTTAGGGAAATTGTTCTAGAAAGCGAAAGCAATGGTTAATATATGCTTGGGGGTGTATGTACGTGAAAATTTATCTGAAATGCGGGAACGACGGTGGTTTAAACATTTGACTGATTTATCTTGGTACTACTTACTTTTGGTGTGTTTACGTATGGTTCACTGCATCGCGATTATTGGCTGATTACTTGATTACTTCTTGTTATGGTTAACTGTCTAGAGCTTTAGTCTGTCTTTAGATCTGTTCTCATAAGCTTGTTAATGGTGCTATAGTCATTAGATATGAATAATATATTTCTTAAGTTTCTTACATTGGGATAATCTGTTCTGACAAAGCCTCATTTAAATGTAAGTGAATTGGTATATTCTTGCTTTGTATTGTGCCTGGTTGCCTGTACTCATTTTAATATTCATCTTTATTGTTTGTCAGGTCACTTTGTCTTACTGATATCTGGATTAAATCACTTTGGGAGAAATCTATTCGTTTCATTTCGGGATATTAGTTAAAGAGACATAGTAGGCAAGGGTGATTTGTCAATGGGCAGAAATCCAAACTAGTGACATTTAATGATACTGCAACCTACACCTACAAACTGGAGTCTGAATCAAGCAGTTCTTCTTCAACCTTCGAGGATTCAGCAATACATCAAAGCAAGAATGCCAACTAACAATGGCAGAATATTTTCAAGGTCAGAATTTCAAACAACTCAAGAGTAAGTTTCCGGTACTCAAAGTAAATTTGGAAAGAATTTTAACACGATTTGAACACTCTCTGGAAAGAAGAGATTTTGAAAAGGTCAAAATACTGTTTCATGATGCTAACGATAAAAATAGCATTTTTGGTCTGTCTAATTGATACTATGGAATTGGCTCTAATTGAAGAAGACAGTACTACACAAAGTGAGGAAAAACCCGTTATATCCAAAATTTTAGTGAAGAAATTTTACGTGTGGAAAACAAGATTGCAATCGATTTTGAGAAATACGAAGACAAACTAGATATAAAGCCGGTGATATCATCTCTTGTAACCACTCAAAACAATTATAATAATGATCCTCCTATGATTAAGTTATGTGGTATGGATCCGCCATGCTGGAACGGACAAAAAGTAGACTTTTATACCTGGAAAGAACGTTTTACACATATAATGCACCATGCTAGAATTACGGATGATTTAGTGCAAATTTCATGGCTTTTACGCAATGGTGCAATGCCAAACGATTATCAAACAATGATATGTGACTGTAAATCAATTTCAAGTGCATGGGAACGCCTGGAAGAGCGTATTCCTAAATCAGTAGTTCAACGTGAAGTAATCAAGCGATACGAGCAAATAAAACCTTTATATAAGACCTCTCGTAATCCAGCGAACCTTAGGCGACTAGCTCACGAAATTTCTCTCTTCTGCCGACGTATGGAAGATCTTGGGTTAAAACAGGATGCAAACTCGGTTATTTCTGTCAATAGAGCATTAGAGTGTCTAGATGCAGACACTGCACTGCGATATAATAGTTCCAGCAAAGGTAATCATAACTTGGAATCTATAACGAATTTTCTGAGATCTGAAGCTACAGCGTTGGAAATATCTGGTAACTTATCTGTCAAACCGAGAATATGAGGTTTCGACCGAGACAAAACCAGTCGCCAAGATCTAATTTCAATACGGTTAATCATGCTACAGACGAGAATGATAACATGGGTTCAGTTCAGCCACGTCAAAGGACAGTCACTTGTATTTTTGGATGTGGAATTCAGCACCGCCTTATAGACTGCAACAAATATCAAAACCTATCAATTCCTGAAAGAAAAAACTTTATAGCAGATGATCGAAGATGTTTTATATGTCTAGGAACTCACTTTGCAAGAAATTGTGCAAGAACAACAGCCGATAGCTGTGTAAATTGTAACCAAAGACAGCATCATTGGTCATTATGTCCCGGAAAAGTACAGGGAAATTACAATACAATGAGAAATTCTGGTATGAACGACTCGAATTTGGAAAGTCAACATATTCACTCTAATGCAGCAGTATTCAACCAATCTCAGATGCATTCAAGACAATTGAGCGCTTTTAATTTGGATTATTCTCCATTACTTGTTGCAGAAGTGCAGGCGAGTGACAAAACATGGATCAAGGCAAATTTCTTTCTTGATGGCAGTAACCATTCTTTGGTAAGACGTAATTTTGTAAAATCATTGAAACAAAAGGCAATAGGTCATGGAACAATTCGGTTTGGTGTCGCAGGAGGAGCCATTCATGAAGAACCTTCTGAAGATTATTTAAAAATTAGACCTCTTTCACGAGACCAGATATTTGATATCAGAGTTACGGCTGTGAGAAAACCTTGTCACGATGTTACACCAATTCCGCCATCTATTTTTAAACAGTTTGAATATCTAAGAAGAATTCAGGATAAAATACCAGTTGGGCAAAAAACAGTCGATGTTCTTGTTGGTAGAGATTATGCACCTTTAATTCAAACAATGCATTCATTACGTTCGCCAAATTGATCCCGATAATCATCCTTCAGCAGCTTTCACATCTCTTGGATGCTTCTATATGGAGGCATTATTCAAGCACCGCAAACGATCTTTCAATCATGTAGCAAATATTAATAGTTTTTTCATCATTAGAAAATGAAGAGTTGCGCAAAGTTTTTTCCATGGTGAAGTTCTTGGAGTGCAACCCACAACTTGTGTGTTGTTCTAACTCAGAAATTGCAGAATCAGCATTTATCAAACATGTAAAAGCGACAACCAATATTAGTGCTGATGGCCGAGTTTGTGTCAAAATGCCATGGAAACCTGGTTTCCCAGAAAAATTGCACAACAATTTTGAGAAGGCGTATGAACAAATGAAAAAACGGGAACAAGAATTGTATAGAAAAGGAAAAAACGGAAGAGTATAATATGGAGATTAAAAATCTGCTTCAGCGAGGCGTAGTACGACGACTAACACCGGTTGAAACGAAAACGGCTAAAGTTGGAAAATGCATGGTACCTCAATCATCGTATCGTAGAACGTCCGGATAAAACCTCAACAAAATTAAGAATAGTATTTGATTCTGCGTGTCCTTTTAAGGGCACATGTCTCAATGATGGTTTAGAGAAAGGCCCCAGCTTTGCGAATTCTTTGTTCAGATGTTTCATGGCATGGCGAGCTGATAGTGTGGCTATTGCTGGTGATATATCGAAATGTTTAATCAAATTCAAATGGCAGAAGTCGATCAGAAATTTCATCGTTTCCTTTGGCGCTATGGTGATTCATCGTTGCAACCAACAATCTTTCAATGGCTTCGGGTTATGTTCGGAGATAAATCTAGTCCTGACTTGGCATGCTTTACAATTAAATTTTTAGCCGATAAATTTCGAAAAGATCATCCTCTTGGAGCTGTTGTATTGGACAAAGATACATACATTGATGACGTCAGTCATTCTGTTCGAATCACATTCTTGCAAACAAGGTTATCAAATGATGTTGATCAAATACTTATTCGTGGAAAATTCTCTATAAAGATTTGGAACTCAAACCATCCTGAAGTAGATCAAAATCCTGGTGAAAAAGTTGTTGATGTACTTGGTCATTCCTGGAATAAAAACTGATGACAGTTTCAGTTCAAATTCAAAGACATTTCTTTCATGCAAACAGGATTTTCTAAAAGAAAAGCATTAGCATGTGTAATGAAATTGTGGGACCCTCTGGGTTATTTACTTCCAGTCACAATGCAGTATAGAATAGATCTTCAAAAGATCTGGGCAGATGGATTTAGCTGGACCAAACTTTGCCAGATGATGTGGTCAAATGCTGGTATAACAATGTTCAAGAAATGTCCAAGTTAGCTCAAGTTTCAACTCCAAGATGTCTAAAACCTGAAAACACAACTGGACCTTCTCAACTGCATGCATTTTCAGACGGTGGAGATTTAGCCTATGGCACTTGTGTTTCTTACGGTGGCCTACAACAGGTGGAGTTAAGCTAACATTCGTTGCAGCAAAGGATTTGTGGCGCCACTCAAACACAAAAGTACTCCAAGAAAGGAGCTAATGGGAGCAATAGGCATGAGCAGATTGGTGCATGAAATAAGTAAAGCACGTACCGTACAATATTGCATTCAAAATATTTTCTGGATAGACAGCAAAGTTGTTATTTATTGGTTGAATTCCCAATCTGGAAAATTCAAACCATTCGTTGCTTCAAGAGTACAAGAATTTCAAGATACACATAAGAATCTAACAAAAGAAGTCATATTCATTCCAAGTCTTCTTAATGCTGCAGATTGTTTAACAAACCTATTTCCTGCGAGAAGCTTACAATTTGGCATGAAGGACCTGAATTTCTAAGGCAACCAATGGAATATTGGCCGAATGATGATGACTTAAAATTAGATGAATTACGTCAAGAAATATTGGAAGAAAACCACCAACTAAGTCAAAAGCATATCGCGGAAAAAGACAATTCAACGTCGTTAAAGCAGATTTGCCTTATCAAAATGATCATGATTTAGCGGATAATTTTTCTTCATGGCAAGACTTGCTAAGAGCGACAGCTTGGATGAAGGGTGCATTTCAGCCAAAAATCATTTGTCAATTTGGAATTTAAACCTGCCGATGTCGTTACAATACATAGAGAAAGCAAAATTGTGTATATTCAGAATTTGTCAAAAATCTATGATTGATGAATTTGGGAAGGCTGTCAAAACTCTATGGAAATTAGACTTGTTATTCGATTCTCACGGAATTCTTCGTATTGGTGGAAGACTGAATAGAACTGATTTATATATGGAAATGAAGCATCCAGTCGTGCTTCCGGGCAAACATTCCCTCGTTCGTCTTCTTGGAGTGTTCTATCATAAAAAGTTCTTACATCAAGGGTATCGAGTTATATTGGCAAATATGAAGAATGACGGTATTGTTCTTATTGGTGGAAGATACTCTTAAAATCAATAGCATCAATGTGTATATTTTGGCAGGATTCGTCGTAGAAAGTTGCTACAGCAACGCATGGGAGAACTTCCTTCATTTCGAATGCAACCACAGATGGCACCATTCAATTCTGTAGCAATGGATTTTTTCGGATACTTGAAAGTAAAGCAATCTCGAAATGTAGTTATCAACGCGTCTGTTTTAATTATTACATGTGCAACCACTCGTTGTATTCATCTGGAACTGTGTCTGACTCTGGATACTAATTCGTTCCTACGGGCATGGAGACGATTTGTATCTATAAGGGGAATTCATCCTGCATTTGTATTTTCCGACGGAGGTACTACATTTCAAGCTAGTCAAGCGCCTATCAAGGAATGGATCGAGAAATGGAATTTTCAGTTGATTCAACTTGAGATGGCAGAGAATCAAACGAAATTTGATTGGAAATATAATGTGCCTTAACGCGTCACATATGAATGGAGTAGTAGAATCGCTTATCAACTCGGTTCGCAAAGCACTCGATGCATCAGTGGTGAATTACAGCAGGGCTCTTATGACCTACGAAGAATGGACAACTGTTCTCAAACGAAATTACTTATATCAATCAATAGTCGACCACTTTTCCCAGATGGAAACCCTTTGGAATATAATTGTATTTCTGGCAATACTCTTTTACATCCATATGCAAAGCAGGTAGTCCCTCAAACTACACAAGAAGAGAGATTCAATCCACGAGACATGCTAAAAGTGGCGGAAAACAGAGTTGAGGTGTTCTGGAAAACATGGATAAAACACATACCGCCTCAGCTATTACTTGCTAACAAATAGTTTCGAACAAGACGCAATCTTCAAGTTGGAGATTACGTATTAATTCTTCAACCTGGATTTAAAGGCGGAAGTGCATCCAGAGGTTTATGGAAAAAAGCACTGGTTCACAACATTATGCCCAGTTCAGATGGCTTGATGAGAAGTGTTACAATCAAAGACAGCGATGGGAATTTATACAATCGACCAATACATAAACTTTGTCTAATTGCGACCAAAGAAGAGCTACAGTGTGGGTTGAAAGACATCTAATCTCATATCAGTTACTCCGAGTCAACAATGTTCAATATTATCGTCTTTTTCATTGCATTCATAGACTGGGGGGGAGTGGTTTAAACATTTGACTGATTTATCTTGGTACTACTTACTTTTGGTGTGTTTACGTATGGTTCACTGCATCGCGATTATTGGCTGATTACTTGATTACTTCTTGTTATGGTTAACTGTCTAGAGCTTTAGTCTGTCTTTAGATCTGTTCTCATAAGCTTGTTAATGGTGCTATAGTCATTAGATATGAATAATATATTTCTTAAGTTTCTTACATTGGGATAATCTGTTCTGACAAAGCCTCATTTAAATGTAAGTGAATTGGTATATTCTTGCTTTGTATTGTGCCTGGTTGCCTGTACTCATTTTAATATTCATCTTTATTGTTTGTCAGGTCACTTTGTCTTACTGATATCTGGATTAAATCACTTTGGGAGAAATCTATTCGTTTCATTTCGGGATATTAGTTAAAGAGACATAGTAGGCAAGGGTGATTTGTCAATGGGCAGAAATCCAAACTAGACGGCAAATCGCGTTAAAGTACGGGAAATACTCATTTCAGAGTATGTTTAGAAGAAATTGCACTAACAAATTGGAGGCAACGGGAAATGTACGCTTGGGTTGTGTGGATACGGAAATTTCACTAAAAAGCGAAAAATTTCACAAAGGGTGGGAGTGACGGGAAATCGCTCTAAGATTCGGATAATATGTATGTTAGTACAATTACCCCGTACATGCACACTCAAGTATAAACGGCACTCCGGGAGCGCCGTATAAACTTGCCGTTGCTTTTGCTATTCAATGCATATTTACCCCACACATACTCTAAAATACATATTTCCCATACCCTAAAGCAAATTCCCGTCATTCACGTCTTTTGTGAAATTTCCCGTAGTTCCCGCAATTTCAAATTGACAAATTCCCGTCGTTCCCGCAGTTCCCGCATTTTAGTGCATTTCCCGTTTCCCGCATTTTAGGGTTGCCCCAGTCTGGCGTCGTGGACTCGTGATGCCTCTTTGTGGATTGAACAAAACTGTAATATGCCAGAAACTGCATAGTGCAGTGGTTCTCAACCCGTACCGATGGCCCCCAGGGGGGCCACGACACATGCCCAATAATCGATCATAAAGCAACTTCATTTGCTTACTTTTCTTTCAAAATAAAATCAGGCGTTTACAGCAGTTTCATTACCGGATGAGGTTATTTGCGATTACTGGGTGAATTCACTTTCGTATACGCCAATTGTTTGATCATATTGCCCAAAAGAATAGAATAGGATTTACATATTTATCCCGAGGGAGAGGAAAGCCGATAAAACGTCTTAGTAACATGGCGAACCACGGCCCCTCGGATGGTGAAGGAAGCCGTAACCGACAAGCGGTCACGTGAACCACCCTACGGCGGCGAGGGGCAATGTTCCCTCTAATTATATGTAGTATGTGTGCGCAGAAATTTTGGTGTGTGCGCACTTTTTTGGAAATGACTAATATTTGTGCAAAAACCAATGAAGAAATTTTGGCGTTCTAACCGGGTAATGGGTGGGCCAACAACAAACTTTCTCAATCGGCCAACCGAGAACATTGTTACATTACATCGAAATACGTCTGTGCGCAGTAGATCTATGCGTGTGCGCAGCCTATGAAAGCTGTGTGCGCGCGCACACCTTAGAGGGAACACTGGCGAGGAGTCTAGCAATCCTCTCGCACATGATCATCTCCGCATGGGATCCGAACCTGCGAACCCACAAAAGGCAATCAGAGATGCAATGGCGAGCGTATTCCTAACGCTGAGAACGATGCGCCACACCGCCGTGCTGAATGCAAAAGTGGAATGGCAATTATGTTGGCTTTGGCCTAACCGAAGTAAACTTAGATGACAGATCATGAGCAATGGATCATTACGCCCATCTAACTACATAACCATCGCGAAAAAACTTATGCCCAGTTAAAAGACGTTGGCATCGGTTTCTTGGCTGACAAGCAAGTTAGATCTGACAAGAAAGCAACATTGGCCAAGTTCGGGATTCTGTCGGAGGATAAGTCTGCTCTTGAATGTAGCTATGAAGTGGCATTTCACTTAGGGTCCATGTAGAAAGAGCAATCAGAAGGGTTAAAGAATATCAACTATTTGAAGGCAGAATACCACTGAGTATGCCAGGAACAGTTAATCAACTATGGACTGTTGCTTGCTTATTAACTAACTTTAGCGGTCCTTTGTTTTAGAAGCAGTTGTTTAGTTTTATTTTGTTCATTGTTGAATAATTATTTTAAGTTCAAGCAGTTTAGTTTATCAAATACATTCAGGACATATTTCATGTCTCCTCAAAAAACCTTATATACAGTAGATGGTGTGGGTGTTACAACATTATCAGGTTAACAGTAAAAGGAAAATTCAGAATAGCCTTTTATACTGCCTGTCTCGCCTGTTTCCAATAAATTGCACATGGCAAAAACACAAAAATATCAATTTATTGAAAAATAGTTGAACATGCATCTTGAATTTTTGTCCTCAAGATGACATGTTTGATGCAACCGTATTTATGAAATGATCATAAAAAAATGATTCTAGACGCATTTGCATGTGTAGAAAATATGCATCATCAAAATATATGCGATCAATAAAACATGCATCTGAAGGCAAAAGAATAATGATTCCCAAACACACCATTATTGGACACGTAGTGGACATAACGATCGTTTCAATATTATGTTGTTCTTGTTATTTGACACAGAATATCACACCTAGTGGAAATATTAAAAAACCGCTTTTCTCTTCGAATACTGGACCATTTGCTTTGAAATTTTCAGTGGTTGAAGATAAAATTTTTCCCCAGAAGGCTATTACTTTTATTCATTTTAAATATTTCTGTCAGCTCTGTGAGATTTGTTTTTGTTTGCTATGACGTCATTAAACGTTCTGCGGATATCGGACGCCGTTTTGTGTCCTACTGTACTGCTTCGCTTGGTGTGAATATATTTGTAGGTCATCATGAAGGTCATCAAGGCTATTGGGCCATGTCACATGTGCGTATGCTCTATATAAGTATTCATTCAGATATAGCATCAGCGATGGAAATGGATGTAATAGAAATAAAATATATATGTGCGAGTCAGCAATTTAGCATTTTGAGGTTATTAGCAATTCCCGCGTTTGAGAATTATTACTATTATCAAACGCATACATAGTTTAGTTTTTATAAATGTTTGTAATATGTCACAGATGTGTATATATGAATCAATTTGTTACTGATGTTCTTATTATCTGTTTCCTTGTTCTTCTATGAAAGAATTCTATTCTCTTAAACTAATGGACCAATTGCTTTGGAATTTTCACTGGCTGAAAATTGTATTTTGCTAGAAAGCTGCTACTTTTATTAATTTCAAAACTTTCCGTGGGCTCTATGTGATTCGTTTATCACTTTGTGTGATGACCACTGCAAAATTATTGATGAAAATTATTTCAACGATTGTTCATTAATTGTTATACGCTGCTTTAATGTTGCCCTTATGAGAGGCAAATTTCAACATATAATAATTTGATTGCTTTTTTTGGAGCAGTCGAACATAAAGATTCCTACATTCACTATACGGTTTAAGATCTATGTTTTTATTATTTATTAGTTTCTTATATAGCTTTTGTAGTGATTCTGCGATCTCTCTCGTGCTACTCCCGTGTTATGTAGAAGTCAGAAGTTTTTTGACTACATAAGAATAACATTTTCTGTTTAATTTTGTAAACATGCACGTAACTTTTTTCGGTTTCAGGTGGAACATTGTCCATTGTATATACGCCTATATATGCCTTAATTAACTCTTTCGTGACTAATTTTGTTTTTTCAATATTTTTGCAATATTTAATATTTTTTATAAGGAAATTTAAACATGAATTTAAATTAAAGATTTGTAACAAAACGAAATTGT